TTATCACACATAGAAGAATAGAAAAATATATACGAGGTGTATGAAACACCATTTTTATTCCTAACAAAAAGTTTTAACAAGTCGAGTAATTATTTTTTTAATTATTGCAATAACTAAAAGTTCAACTCAAGCAGGAGGATGTTTAAATATATATTCCATTAGGGTTTTATGAATAAATACTGATAAAACCTTGGGATGTTACTAGTATCTTTCAGATATCTTGCTCATTATTTCATGAAATTTAAAGAATCTTTATAAATTTTATACCAAAGGCAAAGCACAAAACTTAGTTGCCTGCAGGGTTAGAGTATGAATTGAGTCGAATAACAAGATAGACGGTAGATATTGTCGAGAGCAAATCTATGAACAAAGGTCTCTTGGTATGCTTCCGAGTACTTGGTTTAATCCTGAAATACTGCAATAAACCTTCTCGCATCAACAATTTAATAAAACTTTGGATCGCGTACTTCAAGAAATAATCATCAATACCGAATCTTCAATTAGTGAACAAAAATTCCTCATCAACAGCTTTTTCTTCTATTTCATTCAAATTGAAGGCTTCCAATCAGGCATCGAGATATTAAAAAAATTTTTGTTTATTAAATGATGATCACCTTTGCATTAATTAATCAAGCCTATTTTTATGAGAAAAAAAAATATCATAAATACTTGGTCACACTTTGGAGAGACTGTTAAGAATAGATGTGGTTTTCCTGCATGTGACAGAGCCATTAATTTCTCCACATTATGATCATTGAGAAAGTAATTTAATTTAATTAGAGATTTAATATTTCATACTAAAATTTTGATAAATCTATTCACTGATTAAGTTATTCACAAAAGAATGATAATTATTTGGAATATTTCAATGAGGTAGAATACTTTATTGAAAAAAATGTGTAAAGTAGCTTAGTGCTCAGTGAGTAAGCAGAAAGGATTGATAGTTGATACAGAAAAAATTGAAAAAGTTCTATATCCAATGTAATATTATTGAAGCATAGAAATTAAACTTTGTCTAAATTATTGAGAGTAATGTATTGGAATGAAATTTACATGTCAATTCACAATTTACTCATGTAAGCTTCACATTATGTTCTTTTGGATTATTTGCAGTAAAAAAAAACTTTTCAAGTAAAACATTTTAAACCAAGTAGAAACTATCATAAACTATAATTTATTAAAAGTTTGTTCAATATTTTACCAACTTGTACAAAGCATTATGATGAAATACAATTTGTTAAAAACTGTGTTTTCAAAGAAAGGGTGAATTTGGTAAGTGAATAATTGTGTTAGAGGAACACCCAATGAACAGGAACAATCAATGAATGTGTGCAGAATAATACAATGAGCTCATTTAACGCAATTTGCCCTATCTTTGTGGACTCGTGTTTCATTTCGCCATCCCCTGAACCTATTTCTAAGTCTTTTTATGCCGCAAAATCAAATAGGTACTTTGAAGTTCAATTGCCGAGAGACTATTTAAACCATTCATTTTACTTCTTTTACCTATTGAATTCAGAACACTTGGGAATTAAATATGCGAAATCAGGGGAGACAATTGCATTTTTAATTCAGGAAAATTTCTTGAATATTCTTATATTACTTTCATCAAGACAATGTGGCTAATCAAGTGTAACTTCACTATTCAAATCAATTGTAAGTCAAATCATAATTAATACGTTATGTTATAAGTGTTTTTAAATCTCGTCGAAAAAATGTAATATCATTTTCAATAGATAATTCAATCATTCGACAGTGATCAAACCATCGTAAGGAAAAATAGTTGTCATGAGTACTCTGTGACAGTTCTCATGTTCAAGTTAATTTAGACTGACAAAAGTCCTTTAAAAGCATGATATGAAAATTTTAAAATAATCGAAGAAAAAAGTTCAGATATTTTTTTTCAGCTATATCTGACACTCAGAATAGAAAGACGAGTAAGAAAAATAGAGAAATACTAGTTATAAATAGCTGATGTAAGCTGATTTGAAGAGTAATGTCACTTTTATCAATATTGTGACGGAAATGGCATTACTAAAGCTTAATACTTTTCAAATATAAAACCAAGATTGTAATTCTTATATAGGAACATTACATGAACGAAATCTTATTTGAATCTCAGTGTCAATTTTTTAGATATTCTTATTTTTTAAATATACTTCTGAAGATCAGAAAATCTAAAATATCACGAAGAGTTTTTTATCAGTGAAGAAGTCGTGAATTGGATAAAGTAAGTCTTTTTATTCTTCAATGATATCTGAAATATAGGAAAAACGAGTTGTCTGGATTTAGTCATTTTTTATGATATGAGTCCATATAGAATTGCTATCAAGAGATTTCAAAGAAAAAGTAAAGTTAAAAGTGTGATAATCGATGCATCAGCGAGAAGTAGGTCATCAAGCTGATTGTTAGAACTAGTACAACTGATCTTTCAAAGTAACAAAAAATAAAAACGTGAAAAAAGTAAAGTGGTGCCCTAGAGACTGTAATTAATGTTTTTTTCAGGGAAATAACAATGTTATGAACACGATTTGACTCATTTTTCCAATTAAATTCAAGGAGTAATTTATAAGAGGAAGTATTCTCTAGCAATTTATAGATTCGAAATACAATAACACTTGTTAAATACAGAAAGAAAAGAATATTGATTAAAAATTTGATTGATTGAATTTTATCATTTATAAATATTTCTAACTAATCATTATGATGAAAAAAAAAATATATATTACTTTAAGAGCTATCTAAGGTATTGTTACAAACAGATTGCTGTTAGAGAAATACTGGATACTGGTAATAGCTATCTATATTGCTGAAGAATGACTGGTGACATCACACGTTCATAAACTTATTTCTGATCGTAAAATTATAGTATCAACGCCAAGTGATATAAATGCTATTCATTATTATAAAAAATATTTATTGCTAAAATAATATAATCTTATAAGTCCCATTTTTAAAAAATATTAAAAGACAATATTTAAAATAGCTACGAAAAGTATCATTCCAAAGGAACCATTCCAGATATCGTCAATCATCTCTCTAGATAGTTCCTACAGCTATCTAATGAGATAGTTAATTTAAGGGATAGGATGTTGTTTCTACAGAAATTCATTTTTTTGAGTGTAGAATTTTTCAAGTTATCCAAATAGCTTGATACTACTCAGATAACAATTATTGACGTGATTGATACTAAATTAATCCACTTATGTGAAATAAATCCATACTGAAGTTCATTAAATCATCATTTTAGATTTCAACTTGGAAAGCATTGATTTTAATTTAGTTTAATTCAATATAAATAATCACACTTGAAATCAATGTATTTAATTTTCTAATCACTGATTACTGTATTCTTAATAGCTTTCGCATTGTGATAAAACATCAAATCGATGGTTCTTATCTATGTTTGCATATCAAGCGTCTAACGTATCAAGACTGAGAACTACCAACTAGGAATAATCGACTGAGGTATACATAACATACATACATTTGTATGCCTTCATAAAATAGATGTCATGAGTAATGACAATACACTACTGCTTGTTGTTAAAGAGAAGAGTGTATGGCATTTGTTCAATGTATATGAAGAAATGCAATTCAACTTCAAATAAGCAATTATTAAGATGTAGAAAGCTCTTGTATAATATTATCACGTACGTTCTATGCGCCATACGTATATATTATATTTAGTGGATCTATCGAGTAAACGTGAGAGAGTGCAAATGGCATATGCGCTATAAACTTAGGATGTAGAGATGCACCTTCAAATTTGATGGTATCTGCTAGTATGTATTATGCTCTCTTTTGCACTTACTACCATATAATTTTCATAAATGATTCATTTTTAATGCTAATATAATAATTTAGCACCTATTATTCTGACTACCTATTAAACATGGCCATTTAGGAATAAGATTTCAAAATTTATTATCAGTTTATTATATTTTTAATGTTTTTTTTTCAGTAAAGTAAGTGGTAATTTTAAGCATGAAATATTTGTTAAAAATTTCGTGGTTATGTTGATAAGACAATAAATTTCCTTATCGTAGTTGTCAATATAGGTTTCAGCAAATATCGTTCAACTTTACATAAATTTTGCTTGATATTCTTCTTGAGTATCATGAAGCAAGACATAATGTTCTGCAGCCCTTGAGACTGAAGAGTAAGGAGTAACTGTCTCGTTACTTCTTGTGAATGGATTTCCACACTACATTTACTATGCCTTTCATAAGGTTGTAAGAAAACTCTCCGGAAGACCTACTTTTTAAAGAAGTAATTTAAAAACCTATTCGCGGGCTAGTCAATTTAAGCAATGTTAATAGAAAATCAGATATTCAACATTTTATGCAAGTTAAAAAAAAAGGCCAGTGGTTATAAACATCATTAAACTATAAAAGAGTGATATTCATGAAAAACATGAGATATATGTTCGCAAATAATATTGAAACAGATTATATAATTCACAACAAAATCAATTAATGGGTTGAAAAATTATTTAATTATACTATGAATTCAATCAATGAAATTTTAGCAGAATAGACAGTTGCTGTTCGAGACATTCTGAAATTGTTTTCTGTCAAATATGGCTAGTTCTATGAAAATAAATTATGAAGGTATATTTATTTCTTGAGCAATTTTTCCTATAATTCGTCAGATGTCTGAATGACGTTAAAATTATGTGGGTATGTTTCTCTATGTAAATATGTACTGATCAATAAAAATGAATCTGTTTTTCACGAAAATAAAAATGTTAAAAATAAAGACGATATTTTACAATAAAGGATGGAAAATTTTTCTATCAAGAGCACGGTATTTGGCTAAAGAATCATCTGAATGTAAAAATAAATTCCTTCTCAATATAGAAGGATGATATATGAAAGAAATGAAATCTATCTACCTTATTGTCTTTTACAAATAGTAACCAAATGTATAAATGATGCAGTGGACAATCGCTGTCAGGTCATGTCGACAAGAATAATGAAAAATCGATTAATACTCACTGAGTGAGAGCTCTCTCGTTGGCAGCCGCTGCTGACGATCCTTGGCCCCCTGAAGTTCCACCAGAGTCGTGATGTCTCCTTTCCTTGTGCACAATTCCCATAAGCTTCATCCATGGGTTGTTGGCCGCATGGGCGCCCATGCCGCCACTCTGCCACATTGCGCTCGCCAGCCTCGTTCACTTGATAGGGAGCCACCGACAGGGGCTCCCACGCGTACTCTACCGGAAACTCAATTGGCCTCTGAGCGATAGAGACCCAAACAATGTTCTTCGGCAAAAACTGCCGTCCACTCGGGAGACTCCGCGGGGAGGTGCGAGGTGCCCTGCACGGCCCCGTAGGCTCCCAAGGCCGCCAATTAAGCACCTCGACCATCTAATCTATCTGACCTGTCTATCTTGGCTCCTCTCTCTTCTCTTGCTTCGTCTACAACCCTTTAACTGAATCCGTTTTTTCCTTTGTCTCGTTTGCTTCTCACTTCACTCAACTGGTTCCTCTTTTACGTATTTTTGCTTCCTTTTTAAAACAAAGAAAGAATACTTTAAAATTTGAAAACTTTTCTTCTTACTTAACTTATTTTTTATTCTCCTTTGACACTGTTTCCCATCCACCCAACCATTTTAATACTTTCAACTTCTTTCTACTCCTGCTATTTCTTCACGATTTTTGTTTTAATACCCGAATCAAAATTGGAAGTCTGTTTTAGGTCTTCGGATTCTCAATTCTTTAAATCTTTGGAATTTTTCGATAGGAAGAAATTTCCATCAAGTTTGTTCAGATCTAAAAAGTAAGTTTTGGGACTCAATCTATGAAGGATAAAATCAAAATTTCTAAAACCCAAATTAGAATCAAACGACTTGATTCTACTTGTTTCTACTTAATATTCTGTCTTAGATCTTTTAGAGTTTTAAACAAAAATCCTTAAAACCTAAATCAAAATTATAACTGTTTATAAAATTTTGAATAGCAACTCTCCTAATCTAAAACAAGAACTTGGTGAAGTAACATAGAATTTCCATTTGTTTTACTATCGGGTAATTTTAAAACTTACTGACATCAACTAGACATGTCATGCTATCAATAATCACACGAGACAGTCCGCGTGTTCACTTGCAATGGTTGGACGATAGAATCAAAATAGCAAAGTATGCTTCTTTTTTGTACTTGTGTCTGTTCAATGAAGGCACAGGAAACTGTTTACACAGAAGCATTGTCAATACTAACAGGATAATGCTTATTAATTTCATTACAAACAAGATTTATTGTTAATAAAACAGAATACAATAATTTTATTAGATGAATCCTTGGAAAGAATTATAATATTTTTATTCTGTATAAATATTATTTATTTTTATCGATAACTCCTATAAATACTATTTATTATGTTCATTGATTCATATCACAAATATTTGTATGCTAATTGGCAGTTGATAGAATTTCAAAAAAATATCAATCAGCCAGTTTGATCGACGAATAATTAGTTTTCACTAAAATTAAATTTGAATTAAAACGCAGATTCATTATGAATATTATTAATTTAATTATGAAAGTAATAAAAGAAAGAATGTAATGTAATCAACATTGGTAAGTATTTAACGTAAACAAAAAACATAAAAGTAATTAAAATGAAAATAAAACAATTTCAAAAACAAACTTGAAATTAAGCTTTAATTTATGTATCATCTCTGAGTTCTTCAACAACATTTTTACTCGAAATTTTCGAGGATTGTATGCAGAGGCCAAAAGTTCAACTCCCAGTAGAAAATTTCGTGAGTTCCATTCGTATCACGTTTGAAAGAAACGGAAGAAACGCAAACCTACCAAATATAAGATTTGATTTACTTTAAATCCCTGTGTGTATCATGCTACTGTGGTTCCTACCATAGTGAATGATATTTCAGTCTACATGTAACATGGATAAAGATCCACTGCATTACAAGTAAATGTTTAAAAACTTCTTTCTTTAGTTTTGTTATGAACTCATTAAATGCTAAACTTCTTTCGCGAATAAGAAAAAACTAGACTCAACGCAATGCGGACAATTGCTGTATCGAATATACTCGTCTATAATTTTTTGTTTTATTTTATTTTCCCTCTCTTCAATCGCATGCGCAATTTGAATATTTAAAAATTTAACGAAAAAAAATATGCTCCACGATGCTAATTGAATATATTTCCCATTAACTTTCTACAAAATATTTTATGTCGAGATTGAAACCCATCTACTCATATTCGCTAATTTTAATTTATTTTAAAATTTTTCTCACGTTTTATACATTTTTATATCACCTAGGTAATATTATTCTCATTATCATACAAATTTTATTTTTTTCACGAAAGGTTCGATTAAATAAAGAATGAAGTTAATCATATTTCAAATTATTAATGAAAACTTGTAATTGAATTATATTCCTCTTTCAGAATTAAAAAAAAAATATAGATTTTATTTTAAAAAAAAATGTGTTTATGAAGAAATTAATATCAACAGTGTGTCCACAAGAAACGTGACAAATGAATTCAATTTGAAGACAGATGAGCCGAGAAATAGGAATTTACAGTAGCAACAATGATACCTATGTCAACTGAAACACAGATTGGAAAGAAATATTGTCCAGTTGGGTGGCCTGTTATCAACTGTTCTCAAGCTTACATCTCGAAGACACGTCGGGGCGAATTGCCAAGAAATCCGTGTGTGTAGAAGAAAGAGATTGTTAAAAAAAACCAGTTGAATGTCCATGATTTTTATTATATTATATAGTTGCCTAAACTACTATTAAAGTTTTTTAAGTAAGATGAAACTCTCTAGAAAATTAACTAAAACCAACAGAGCAAAATAATTACACTAAAAATTTAACGCGGTTTATAATTAAAAACCTTTTACCCAAAGAAAGTTCAAGTTAAAGAGTGACAAACTTCTCAACGAATAACAGTACATCATTGAACACTTTCAGTTAACTATTAAGTCTACTGTGAACAAAGTTTTCTGTACCTTCAATGTGTTCGCAAAGTATTATTCTCAGAAAAGTCGACATGAATGTTGAGGGATCTACACCTTGAGGGCGACGAGCGTGATGGTTTCAAAGATAAATACGCACAGTACTGTCATGAAGTACCAGTAAGAGCCATGACTTTCTGACCTTACCTAAAGAATAACGAAATCCTCAGAATTTTTATGCACAATTCATTTAGAACCATTCTTTCATTTTCTATGCAATTTTCTTTCTATTTAAATTGATTATTTACACTACCTTTCTATTCTACTCGTCACGATTTTTAAAATCTTTCGTCTCGTTAAAAAGCTTTTTTTTCTCGACAAAGGGGTCTTTAAATAATACGATCGATACGTTATCATTTTTACTTTCTCTACTCTGTACAAATTCAAATAGATTATTGAATAAATTTTTTTTCCAGTAGAATATACTTCATAAACTATTTAATCTGTATTTGATAAAATTTTATAACAATTTCACTTACTTTATGTAGAAAAATATCACTACATCTTTGTCATTTGTGAGTTGCTACTCTTAAAAGGTCGATTTTATATTGCTTGAAATATTATATAAATGCTAGTTTACCATGCCTTATCCGTATAGTAATAATGGTTAGTTTATCATTTTATAGATTACTTAAAAAAAATAATTTATTTTTTCATTTCCTTGATGCTTCAATAATCTACATGATATTGGTGCCAATCTTTTTTTCTTTTCACGTAAAAAATATGAACACATTTAATGATATCAATTGAACGATTTCAATGCGAAACAAAACGTATAGAAAATATATTCACAATGAATACACTAGAGAAACCACTGAGCGCAGTCGAAGAGTAAATAAAACACGTGTTAATAATAAACCACTTCTTCAAGTATTTAACATATGTTACAAATGACGAGAGAGAAAAACTGAAAGACGTGTGTATGTAATGCAAATTACGAGATACCGCATTACTTGTACGGGAGCCCGGCGCCGCATTGCCACCGCAGGAGATCATATCCCTACTGAGTCAGACGCACGAGCCGCATCCGCAGCCCCTCGCACTCGTCCCCCATTTTACCTGTCTATTTATCCCTGTCTCGTAGAGTGTCGAACCCAGGACACGACCTTTCTTCGTGATGCATTGGGAATACAGAGAAGAATTTGGCGATCTTGGTCACGTATTGGCGTGACCGATCGTCATGAATATCACGATAATAAAAAAAACCACCCCTTTACTTCTCTTCCCACCCTGACTATACTTGCTTAGTCACTTTAGCATGCTGCACATTTCGATGAATAAAAAACAACTTTACGCAAATTTCCGTATACAGTTGTCGTTGATTTCTCCATCGTTTATACCGATTATTCATCGATCACAATATCGATACACCGGTAATTTTTAACCACTTTCACACGATACATTACCGATTGAATAATAAATAATTATTGCTGGTTGATGAGTTTAAAAATTTATGTACATATAGAGATGCTGATAATAATGGTAGTTAGCTGTAAAAGTAGCAATTAAGCTCACTTGGTTCAGTAAAACGGACGTAAGAATAAGGTTAAGTCGCGTGTTGACCGAGGTAAACCAAAGGAAGCGGGCGCACGAGACTCCCGTGCGGAGCTCAACGTTTCGCCTCACTGCCGGGCTCACTGCAGCTTGTGACGCACCACCCTCTTCTCTGCACCCTCCGTCGCACCAACCCCGTGCTTGCTTTCTCTCTGTTTCACTCCCACTTGCTCACTGTCTTTTACCACCTCTATATCTGCAACCCTTTCACACCCCCTCACGTCGTAGCCGCGCAGTTGACGCTGTTCTCTACTCCTGAAGTACACAAGGCTTACAGGATGGCCGTGGCCGGGCCAACGGCGCACACCTGCGCCGTCCCCTCCAAAGCACATCACGGTCGTCAGCTCTCTGTTGTGCTAGGAAACACGCCAGTCCTATTACTGCCCTTACTATCGTTAGTGAAGCTCAACACGGAAAAAAAAGTGATGTAAAATCTACATGCGTAGGTGTAATTTTTATATCAAAAGTATAGTTAAAAAAAATGCAGTTAATTTTATTCTGGTTAAATGATGTTAAATCTACAATAGCATTTGCCGTAGAATTTACAATAATATTTTGCAGTATTTTTTACCACAGTTTTATGTTAGTTTGACATCAAATTTTTTACAAACATAACTATAGCATTTTACTAACCAGAAAAGATAATGAGTAATGTTTTGAATTATCATCAAATAATTGTAATTACGAGTCATTAAGAAAACTGAGGAAAACAGTTTACAACACTTTAACAATTTACTGGTCATGAATTTTATTTCAAAATAGAAAATTCCATTGACAATACAAATTTCATTACATGAAAATATTATAATGAATACCTAGTTGTAATCATCAATGAGCCATTTTTATTTATTAACAAACATTTTATTATATTTCCTAATGAAGAAATATTTACTAACTTGTTCTTAGTACAATTTTTGAAACTTTTCATTACTTTATACGCATGATAATGACTGTTAAACCCGAGTGT